TTAGGTTGTTTGAGAAGAGGACACCTGGTACTGCAGTAGGTTGGACCCAGAAAAAAAACCACTTCTGAAAAATAACAAAAAAACCTGTAGGAAATTTGCAGAATAAAAATACAAATTTTTAATATAAAATATAAAAATATTATTAAATATATTTACAATTAATAAATGTTTATGCATTAGTAAATGATGTTTATTAAAATCCAAAAAATTATCTCTCAATTTCTACTTAAATTCCAGTACAATCTAATTTCAGGCCATAAACTCAATCGCTAAGGTATGAATACTCGAACCCATATTATTCCATCATTATATTTTTATTTATTAAATAAACAATCTAATTCTTTTATAGTTTGATTATCAGTACTAATTAAAATCCAAAATAATCAAGATCAGCATTATTATCACAATCTAATAGTATGTTTTAATTATAATTTTAGTTGTTTTGAGCTCTTAGAGAAAGATTAAGGTATCAAATTAGAGCTTATTTCTTATTTTATTATCAACATTCACAGTCATTAACTTTTTGATTGAAAATATTTTTCAAACTCATTTTTATGAGATAGCCCATATTAATCTATAATTTGTTTTATAAATTATTTATATTTGCTAAATAAATTAGTTATGAATATAAAAATTGTAAGATTTAGACATAGATAACTAATATTCAATATTATTTTATATAAAGCAATCAGCAAACAATTTTTATTTCAACAGAAGTTTAATTATTAAAATATATAATGTTATTCTTTCATTTACTCATTCCTGTTTTATAAGTAAATCTAAGGGTTCTTTTAATATTAGATCTTATTCTTGTTCTTGGTTAATTTGATCAGCAGGCCAGACAACTAATCGATTGGATTCAGTTATTTTATCAGATACTATATCATTAATATGTTTGGTAAACTTCCTTCCTAATTGGTGACTGCTCTATAAAATACGATTTCCAAATTATTATTCAAGAATAAATTGAATTCTTGAAATTTCATAAAGAATATTATTCAATCTGCATTTTTCTTTTGCTCGTTTTAATAAAGTAATATAAATTGATTGTAAATTTGTAATGGGAAACTTCAATTAATTAAGATCTTCTTTAAGTTCAATTTAATTGAATTGTTTATTTAAAATTTTTTTAAATCTGGATAGTACATTGAAACAATATCATGGAACAGTTAATTTTCTAGTAATTTATTATTATAATATATTGCCACATACTTTAATATAAATATTAATTAAACTATAGAACCAATTTAAGCTAAGACCTACCCAAGTTTTGGCATTGTAATCTCTTCTTTGATGGATATACTGTCTATTCTAAAAAGATAGGAACTAGAAATATTGTATTCAGGATTTTTATTTGAGATAAAAGCAATAGTATTTCGCATAAACTCTGAGTTGACTTCTTAATTGGTTAACTCATAGTTATTTAAAAAGTTATATTACTTTTCATTCTTAAACAAAATTCCATCATCCAGAATTGTTTCTTATTATTTTAACATAACTTAAGAATAGGAAGATTTTCTGGGATCAAAAGCTTGATAATATGATTTAACAAAATTATCTAATTTTTGTTAGACATAATTAAATTAATTCAATCGAATTGTTAAGACCAAAAATCCATGATGTGTAGATAAATATTCTGTAATTGTTTTCTCATCAGCACAATAACCTCCATTTTTTAATGAACTATTTGTACATATTGCAAAAACTAATAAATATTCTTTTAATGGCTAATGGTTTTCATCTTATTTATATGCATTATTTAAAACCAAAGAACCATTATTGACAAATAATGCGGAAAAATACTATTCCTCACTAAATAAAGTAATAGGCTCTTCTTTAATTCCAAAATTTTCCAATTTAAATAATAATGGAGTAATAATATTATTTTCTTTTCTAAAAGGATCAATATCAGTAGTAAAATCTTCAAGAGTTAGCTATATTAAAGGGTCAGACCATTAAAACTCTCCATAACCTTTTGTTTCTTATTTTGAACTGATATTAGGAGGTATTTCATTATTTATCCACTATACTAAAACAATTAATAGATAAGAAAAGCTTAAGCTACTCAAAATAAATGATATCACTCCTCCAACTTTGCTTTGAAAGGTTGCTTAATTTTTATTTGTTAGAACAGATATTTAAACTCCAAACAGATCAATTTTTTCAAGAATCTATAGATACTAGTTCATAAAAAAATTTTTGTTATTTAAAATTATTTTTGAGAAAAATTAAATCAACTTCAAATTAATATGTTTTATTAAATTTAAGACCTTTAATTAACAGATTAGAACTTATCATTTTAAATTTTTTTAGAGAAAGTAAATTTTCTAGCTACCATAACATTATTTCATTAATTATATTGTAAAAATTAAGTATGAGATATAAAAATTGCTATACATAGACAATATTATATTTTCTCTTTCATAGCTGCTAATTTTCTAAAATTTAAAATAATCTGATTTCTCTCTGTCTTTTCAAATAATGTACTTCTCTTGGAAAAGTTGGCTTTATTTGAATAATGAAAAATATATTTTCTCCAAATAATAATTTCAAAATCAACTTAAGTTATTAATTAATATTTTACTTATAATACTAAAATCAGAATTATAAACAAGGATTTTGGGTTTAGTTCTAAAAATATGATTTCTAACATTCTTAAAATTCGCCCTGCTTTTTACAATATTTATTTCAATTAACAAACTCATAAAATTATTTTTATTATTATAAATTTCAATATCACGGATTCAAAAATAAAATAATAACCATTTTTTCTTTATTGCTAAAATAGAATGTCATAATTTACTGAACTTTAGAGAATATAATGGAATTTAGAATAGCAAATTATGTTAAATATCAATTACAATCAATGTTGGAGAGATAAATAAAGATATTTAGGTTATCTATATCTAAAAATACTTTTCTTTCAAATCTAAAGGATCAAGTAAAATACTAAAAAAATTGATTCATTATTTATATTTGGAATTATTTTTTGAGATTCTGACATTAATTGAGCAGGATAAGCTATTTAGAAAGGAAGTTTTTGTGGATATAACTTGTTATTAACTTTGTTATTATAAAAATTTTCATTTATTTGTTAATTACAATTCTTTAAAATCCCTTTCAAAATTGTTATGGTTCAATACAATATTTTGATTATTTCCTTACTCAGAGGTATTTAATAAGAAAACTGCCATTTTTTATGTGTCATTTCTATCATCACGACAAAAATTAAGTATTGTGCAATTAAATAATTTAATTAATTCTGATAACAATATAATAATATTAATATTTTATCATTTATTTTAAATAATTCTATTTATCAAGTTATTTTGTTTTATAATTATTTAATTGGCAAAATCATTAAATTCTTCTAACTTTTTTTAATTTTGATTTCAACCATATATCTTTATTTTGCCCCATTAACTAGATCATGCTATCCAATTACTTTCTTATTGTCTATCATTTCACATATTCTATATTCGGCCAGTAAATTTCTGGCAATATTACATGGTTATTTTAATCTCCATTGATTTTATTAAATAACTGTATGTGCATCATATAACTTGGGAGGA